GGGCTTGCCGCTCATTCCTTCCCTCGTCCCTCCGCCAGTTAACGGGACGGTGCGCGAGGAAAATGTCAACAGCAAGTCGGTGGCGGAGATCGCGTCGCTGGTGCAGAAGCTGGCAGACCAGTCCGGTTTGGATGTGATCCGCATCCGCAAGCCCTTCCACACGGACAGCCCGAGCATCCAGGGCCAGTGGCACCCCTTCACCAACAGACCGGCGGCCCGCCGCGGCCTGCGGCCCCGAGAACGCGAGGACCCCGCTCCAGCTTTGGTACAGGCACAGTAAAGAACCAGCCTTGGGTCGCGAACGCGATGAAATTGGTCCCTCCTTTGGGATGCCAACCTCAGGCAAACAGTTGGAGCCCACCATCGGGGGCGTAGCCCGGGATAAAGAAGAGCTGGCTGCGGTTGCCCCGCTGCTAGGTACTGTGTGACCTTGTGAATACCCTCGTTCCGATCCACTTGGCCTCTTTGCAGGCTGAGATGCGAGAAGGCCTCCAGGTGCTGTACAGGGTCCTTGTTTTCTGGAATCCAAATAATACTGATTTCAAAACACAGTGAAGCGTCTGCACGCCGCCTTTGAAGAACTCGTGCTGTCTCGTTGCCCTTGCTGTGGCCTGGCATTGGGCAAGGCACCTTGTATCTGTGAGTGTGTGTGTGCAGATGAGAAAACTGAAGTCATTAAATTTACCTGAGACTGCATTTGAAGGTTTGTTTATTTATCGTGTGTGTGAGTGTTTGTATGTCTGTGCACTGGGTGCATGCAGTACCCCTGGAGGCCAGAAGGTGGAAGGTCCCAGGAAGTGGAGTTACAGACAGATGTAAGCCACATTGTAGGTTCTGGGAATTGAACCTAGATCTTCTGCAAGCAGCCAATGCGCTACCTGAGCCATTTCTCAGTCCCTTAAGGTCATGCTTCAAAAATGTGGCTTTTTTTCAAGACAGAGTCTCACTATGTGGCTCTGGTTGTTCTGAAACTCTCTCTGTAGAACAGGCTGGCCTCAGACTCACAGAGACCCACCTGCCTCTGCCTCCCGAGTGCTGTGACTAATAGCACCACTGTGCCCACTCAAAAGGTGTGCATCATATTTTAAGCATAAGCCCTTTTTTTTTTTTTTAAGTTTTTCGAGACATGTTTCTCTGTATTACTTTGGAGGTTGTCCTGGAACTCGATCTGTAGACCAGGCTGGCCTCGAACTCACAGAGATCCACCTGCCTCCGCCTCCCAAGTGCTGGAATTAAAGGTGTGTGCCACCAACACCCGGCCCCTATTTTAATTCTAAAACCAGAAACAACATAAATACTTTCAGTGGTTAATGTCAAAGGCAGAGCAGGTTCAGAAAACAAAGCTTGATGTAGTCCTAACTACATTCCTACCCCAAAATTGTTTGTACAGAAATGAGCCCATATCTTCCCCTGGATCAAGGAGTGCTGAATAACTTGTTAGGGATGAGCACAAGGGCTGGCAAGAAGTGTCTTCCAGGCTTAAACAAGGCAGGGACTAGAGACATGGTTCAAGGAGTTAAGAGCATTTTCTGCCCCTCCAGAGGGCGCAAGCTCAATTCCCAGCACCCACATGGTAACTTACAACCGTCTGTAACTCTAGTTCCAGGGGATCTGACTTTCCTGGTCTCTGAGGGCATCAGACACGCAGGTGGTACACAGGCTGCATACAGACAAAACACCCAAATAAAGTGGGGGGTGGGCAGGGAAGGGAAAGGCCTCGGTGTGGTGGTACAGCTTTTAATCACCAGCACTCATAAGGCAGAAGCAGCCAGATAGATGAGTTCAAGGCCAGCCTAGTCTACATCAGAGGGTCCCAGACTAGCCAGGGCTACATAGTGAGACCAAGTCTTTAGAAAAGAAAAGGGCAGGGCTGGCGAGATGGCTCAGTGAGGAAAGGCGATCACTGACATCCTGAGTTGTTCTCTGACCTGTGCTAGTGCACAGGAACAAGCTGGGTGTGGTGTGTATCTGTAGTCCTCACATCTAGGAGGCTGAGACAAGGAGGGACATTTTAACCAGGAGCTTGTCCAGCCTGAGCAACACTGAGATTCCTACCTGAAAAGATAAAGCCAGAGGAAAACAGTAGCTAGGTCTCTTAACTTAGGAGTTATTGAGCTGCTGTGATTCTGTCAACCTCACCATCAAAGACTAATATGAGCCTTAGCCAATGGCCCCTGTGCCTGCCCAGCTCAATGAGAGCAGGAGCGGAGGATCTCATTTGCTTATGTAAATATTTTTATGGGGAGCAAAGCCAACCTAAGATGAGGAAATCTCTGCAGCACCTTCTCCATCAGCCAGAAACCCGTCCCTGGTAAAGCCAGTCTAGAGCAAGCAGATACTCAAAGCTGTGGGGAAAGAGGGCTTTTATTAACCAACATGAGAAGGAGCAGAGTCCAGGCTCCCCATCCCAACCCAGGCCTGTCCCACCCACCTAGGTGATGAGTGGGGGCATTCCTGAAGAAGTACAGCCATTCTCACAATAAATACATTCATTGTGGGGTGGAGGCGGGAGAGGTTAGGGTGAAGGGCAGTAAAAACTCGTGGGGTTCCACGTTCTCAGCTACAAAAATAACAGTCATCCTCACCCAAGGGGATGGGAGAGCTCAGTCAGGGTTGATTGTCCCGTATGGGCCTGGAGACATCTGAGGCCTTGGACCTTGAAAGTGCCCTGGTGAGGTAGGACAGGATGGGGGCCAAGCACCCAGACTCCCAGCCTCTGCCCTTTGCATAGTTCCAAGAACGGGCTTCATGTGCCAGGTGAGATAGCCGATCACTTCCCCCTGCTCTGGTCTAGGAGAAGCAATTGCTTGGTCCCTAAAAGAGGGAGGCTGGCTCATTGAGTGCAGTGTTGGTCACTTGTCCTAGTTTTGTGAGGACAGCTAAATGGCAGGGGAAATCTCCCTTTGAAATATCCATGGACCAAACCTAGTAGACACAGGTCTGACTGAGGAAGCACAGGGAGGTTCCAAATGTGCATGGAAGGGTGGGGGATGTAAGCAGAGGTGGGTATGT